ACACAAGAGTATAAATAACGAAGGTATATTACATGAAACAATAATACAAGATGTGGAAGGTGTTAGTATGACTGTCAGTCTGATTTGGAGTGAACAACTATCGGCTCGACTCGATTCGGTATCTAGCCACCCTCTCACGAGAGTTGCACGTGGCACAAGGCCGAGTTTAACGTGGGTTTCCCGAGCCCGTAGGCTCGGCCAAAAAATGCCCGTAGCGTAGCCCGAACGAGACTCTGCCCTTCGGCGGAGCCTCGTCCGGGTTCCTCTCTGCTCAGAGGCAGAGAGTTCGACCGTCAAGTCGAGAAGCTCGGCTTGATTCGATATTTACTTGCCCCCCACGAAGGAAAGATGTGGCACAAGGCCGAGTTTTACGTGGGTTTCCCGAGCCCGTAGGCTCGGCCAAAAAATGCCCGTAGCACGAACGAGACTCTGCCCTTCGGCGGAGTCTCGTCCGGGTTCCTCTCTGCTCAGAGGCAGAGAGTTCGACCGTCATGCCGAGAAGCTCGGCTTGATTCGATATTTACTTCCCCCCCCCCCACGAAGGAAAGATGTGGCACAAGGCCGAGTTTCACGTGGGTTTTCCGAGCCCGTAGGCTCGGCCAAAAAATGCCCGTAGAACCCGTATAAACGGAATCGGGTTGGTCAAACTCCCCGAACTCGAGACTCTGTCCTTCGGCGGAGCCTCGTCTGGGTTCCCTCTGCTCAGGGGCAGAGAGTTCGATTGTCGCCGAGAAGCTCGGCTTGATTCGGTATCTAGCCACCCCACACGAGGGTTGCATGTGGCACAAGGCCGAGTTTTTACGTGGGTTTCCCGAGCCCGTAGGCTCGGCCAAAAAATGCCCGTATAACCCGTATAAACGAGATCGGGTTGGTCATTTCTCCGCGAACGAGACTCTGCCCTTCGGCGGAGCCTCGTCAGAGGCAGAAAGTTCGACCGTCAAGCCGAGAAGCTCGGCTTGATTCGACCCTCTCTCTTGAGAGGTGTAGTATACATAGTGTTAGGAAGAGTTCATTCTGTAGTTATAGGTAAGGACCCATGACACTTTTTTTAATACTCAGTAGTCCATTACGTCTTAGTGGCTTCATCACCTTGTTTGGGTGAAGTAATAATAATAATAATGATAATAATAATAATAATTAAGCCAAAGTAGGATTAGATAAGTTCGCCTATCGTCCGGATCACACTTTTCACCGGTCATTCGAACAGAAGTAGTGGTTAGTCCCTTGTTTCACCTTTGGGATTAGTTTTCTGATTTCTTCTAAAGTCTACTTCAACGCTATACGCCTAATGCTTGTCCCTGCTTACGCTAATACAACTCCACACAGTAACATTCCTACTTTGAGTGGCTCTTGAATCTCGTATTGGTTGGTCAGCATTAGTAAAAAAAAGAAAAGAAAAGATCCACGGATAGAGTATTAATGCAAAAAGATCGAGAGGAGTGGCCATTCAAGACAACGTTCATTTTGCGATTTGATAAGAAAGATTGAATAAAGTCGAAAATTCGTTCAGAAATACCATAACCTTTGACTCGTGAAGACGAACAGCATGCCAAATCCTGTCAAACGCCTTCGAGATATCTAAAACAAGAGCCCGTCCTTCACCCATCTTATCTAAAGTGTGATAGACTCTTTCAGCAAGAACCGTTAGCACATGAGCAGTTGACCTATATATTTTATTTGTTCCTCCCTATAATCTTTTACACACACACATACACACACACACATAAACACACACACACACACACACACACACACACACACACACACACACATATATATATATATATATAGAGAGAGAGAGAGAGAGAGAGATCCTTGATAAATCCAAAGAAGAATCAGCAATATTATCGGACCTGATCTGGCATCTTGGTTTCAGTCACTTTCCTACCGCTGTAAAGTCGCCTCCCTCTGCCTTTTCTATAAGTACTTTCATGGTAAGTGTTCGAATTATTTCTTCGCTATGGTACATATACATTATGGTTTTGAGCGCAGTACTAGATTGGCGATGAGGTCTCATCAATTTACAGTTGAATTGGTTAGCTGTAACCGTAAGTTCTATCCTAACAGTTTATTTTCCTGCACTTCCCGCTTGTAGAACTCTCTTCCGACTCCACGATTTCCAGCCAACTTTGATCTGCAAAAATTTAAATGCAATATCAATCGCTATCTAATGTTCGCCTGATTACTCTACATTTGATTTCGTTCCATAGTAATATTTCTGTTTTCTAATACTTCCACACCCAGTAACCCCTTGTATCTTAGTGACTTTACTGCCTTGCTTGGGGTGAACTCAATTATATATATATATATATATATATATATATATATATATATATATATATATATTAAGCTTTTCACCCCAAGCAAGGCGGGAAGCCACTAGGACGCAAGAGGTTACAGAAATTTTGGAGCAAGATCAGATAGGAGTGATAGAAGAAAGGATGAGGAGAAGGGTAGTGGATAGATCAAGGCAACTGGAGATGTCGATTGACATTACATTTGAATAGTTGGAGATTATACCTATCAGGGAAACTGGAATAGGGAAGGGTGTTCCACAGGCGAGAGGTGCGAGACATGAAGCTATAGGAGTAGAAGAGATGGCTACATTTAGGAGTTTCGACAGTGAAGGGGTGAGAGCGGGATGCCAGCCTCGTAGGGCGCTTGAACTCATGAAGTCCGGGAACCAGACCGAAAGTTCTTCAGACTGAAATTTCTTAATAAATTGAGACAATTCATGGTGACTGATATGCTAGATTAACAGGGGCTAGGGAAAGCAAGAGAGAAGATCTGAAGAGATGAATATAACAATATTCACGAAATAAATTATAACTAAAATTAATATCCTCGTTGGAATTATCCCTACCAGTTAGAATTTGATATTATATATATATATATATATATATATATATATATATATAAGGTGTACTTCGGCAGCAATAAATCTTTCAAACGTGTTTGCTTAAATAATATTGACAAGTTTTGTCTTTCAAATTTTTTTTATTAACCTTTTCAATTTTCCGAATTAGTTGTTTTATGAAATCGGTAAGTTTACCAAAGTTCTAACTTATTTTTAATTTATATTATTTTTTCTTGATTACTTTCGAATGTTGCTACATTCGTTTTCAAGGATTGTGTTTTGTAGGTTAATTCTGGCTTCCTCACGTGTAGCAACATTTAAAAGTATTCTGGAAAATTAATATGATACGAAAAATAAATATATCTTTTACATTTCGATGTAAACTGCATTTGTTTCCGACTTTTCACACACACACACACACACACACACACACACACACACACGCACGCACACACATTGCATATATATATATATATATATATATATATATATATATATATATATATATATATATATATATATGAGAGATCACTTGTATATCATTGCTTGAACTGGCTTCTAATGCTCAAGTTTGAGTGGCTTGGTGATAGTAGTCGTGGCTCCTGGGGGCACAGTCCTATGGTTATAGTGAAAATCAGTTGATTTCCACCACGAAATTTGTGAGCGAGCGGCGCTATATTGAGTCTGATTTGCTACTTCTTCTTCGCCGCTGCCTGTTGGAACAGTTGGTATGACGTTTGCTTGATAACCTAACTCTCAGGGTTTCAATTCTCGGTAGTGGATCCGCACTGCTGATGAGTCCCAAATATAGGACGAGACGGCCGTCCAGTGCTTTCTGCATTCTGTTGAGGCTTCTTTCAGACTCTATGAATTACTTAATCATATATATGTATACGAGACTCTATGAATTACTTAATTATATATATATATGATAAAGTAATTCATAGAGTCTGATATATATTTATCTCGGTAGATAGATAATATTAGTGGTAAATATACACATACATATGCAAAATATATATACATAAATATATACTTTTATAAAAAAATTTCCAAGAGGATAGAATCCAGGTAGAACTCAATGTCCAGGACAGAGTAAGGATATAATAAAAAAGGCTTAAACACTAATATTCCATAGTCGTAATTTATTCTATTGGAATCGTAAATACGATCCAATTCATCATATATATATATATATATATATATATATATATATATTTTTTTTTTTTTTCTGTCCATAGAAAACGGATTCGTGGATTCTTCAAGGTATTTATGCAAAAATAAACGTGACTGACCCGGCCGGAAATCGAACTTGGCTCGCCGATTCCCTTTTCCACGCTGTTTACCGTTATAATACCGGTACGGCTTTTTCTCTTATTAATTTCCCATTTCTCTTGTCGTTCTTGTATCGGCTAAAATCTACTGTCGACCACACTGATTGCCAATTCAACAATCGCATTTGTTGAAAAAAGCCCGCCTAACTCTTTGTTAACAACCTGAGAGCCATATAGCTCCCGACTTTTCCTTTACATTACAATAAGAAAACAAAAAAAAAGTCTTAAGGAAGTAGGATTCAATGGATTGTCCCCTTAAAAACCAAGCTCCATCACCCAGGGACAACATCGGGAACGGCGGGGACTTGGCCTGAAATTGCTGCTGTAGAGAAATGGAAGGGACAGCTGAGTACGCATATGGCTGGGGTGCTCCATATACAACAAAGAACCACAATGAGGCTCCAAACACCTCATTTCACACATATCAACCCTACACCTCTAATTGTCTTTTTACTTTTTGTTCTGTCTTTTTTTTCTCTTTATTTCTCTTCATTAATTTGATTTAAATTGTTTCTTTCATTCCCAGTGTAGATCATTTTCTCTTCTTCCATTTTCTTCTTTCTCATCTTTTTTCTTTACTTTTCTTCATCTAATTGATTGCTCGTTCCTTACGCCATTTTCTTTCTTTTCTTTCACTGTTTGGTCGTTATTTTCTTTTTTAAATTCTTTCCTTTTTTTTTCCTTTTCTTTCTTTATGCTTTTTTTATTTATTCCTTTCCTTCATCCATAGGCTGAAAATTTATTCTTTATTGAGAAAAGACATTTATTTTATCCTCTTTCTAACCCTAAACCTCACTGTTAATAGTTTCATGTGTGATTCTTTTGTTTTTCCTCTTTCTGGCTTTTTTTTACACCATTCTTTTATCTATCTGTCTGTTTCATTCTTTGTTCATTGCTTCTTTTCACCATTCAACTCTCTTTTTTATCTCCGCCATTCTTTCTTTTGGTTAATCTTTTTCATTCATTTATTCATTCATTCATTCATTTTTCCTTTAGTTCATTCGTTCTTTCGGCTAATCTTTTTTCTTTCTTTCTATCAATCTTTCTTTACTTGAATCTTTCTTTTGTTCTTTTTTTAGGTTATTCGTACTTTTTAATAATCTTTTCCCTTTCTTTCTTTCTTTCTTTCTTTCTTTCTTTCTTTAGTTTATTCGTTCTTTCAATTAATCTTTTACGTTTCTTTCTGGCATTATTTCTTTATTTTGGGGAATCTTTTTCCTTCCTTCTTTCCTTCCTTCCTTTAGTTTATTCGTTTTTTATGTTAACTTTTTCCCTTCTTACTTTTTTTTGGTTAATATTTTTCCTTTTTTTCTTTCGACTATTATTTCTTTTGGTTAATATTTTTCTTTCTTTTTTTCTGCCATTCTTTCTTTAAGTGAATATTTTTCCTTTTTTCTTTTTTCTCTCGAGGTTCATATTTTTCATTTCATTCGTTCACTCATTCTTTCATTCTTTCTTTCTTTCTTTCTTTCTTTCCTCTTTTTATTTTCTCTTTCGTTCGTTTTCTTTCCTTCTAGCCTTTTTGCGTTTTCTTTCTTTTCATTTAGTCTTTCTTTCTTTCTTTCTTTCTTTCTTTCTTTCTTTCTTTCTTTCTTTCTTTCTTTCTTTCTGTTAATCTTTTTCCTTCGTTCTTTTCTTTCTTTCGTTAATCATTTTTCTTTCTTTCGTTCTTTCTTTTTTTCATTCATTCATTCTTTTTTGTGTATAAATTATTTTAATTTTTCTAATATTTTACTCAATGAGGCATGTGCCCAATCTTTGAGCATAGAAACAGTTTTTTAGTCCTGAGTCGATAGTTTCTAAAAAAAAAAAAAAAGGTATTGCGAATTTTCTTCATAATTTTATCATTAGATTACTTTCTTTTTATTCTTTAAATAATTCGTTTTTGTCTTTTGTTTTTCATTTTTTCTTCCTGTCTCTGTTCTTTTCATTTATTCTTTAATACGTTACAATTTCATTCGTTCGAGTACGTTTTATTCATTCTTTATTTTCATTCATCAATTAAACTAGTTTATTTCCATTATTTCCCTTGCAGTCGTCCTCCTTTCTTCGCTTTGAGTGGTTTCAAAGACGATACGTTCTCCTAATTTTATGCATAAAACAGCATACTTCTGCTAAACTCCCTAACCTAAAAACTTTTATTTTCTCCATCGCTTTTCAAGTACTTCCCTCAAAATTGCCATCAATACTGCCTCCATCATTGACAACAACATTTATCCTAGTGTAAAGAACAGATTGTTTATCTTTTCCATCTCTCGCCTTTTCTTATTTATTGTCATTGTCCAACTTCTTTATGACCGTCTGCCCGTTTACAAGTGACTCGTGGTACGCATGCGTGTATGTATTTATGGACGTTTTGTGCCTTCAAAGGAGACATATTTGGAGAGTGATGAAATTCTGTGTGCCTATTCACCTATTTAGATTCGTGTGTGACTGTATGTGTGCGCAGTAGATTTAGTGTTTGTAGATACTCATTAACAGCATTAATATTACAGCAACTAATGATTCGGATACTGTTTTCGATTTCCGAATATTTTGAATGACGACTTGAACTTTTGTAATCGTCATGCAGATGTGAGTAGTGTTAATAATCCTTTATTTATTTATTTTTTTTTTGAGATTTGCAAAAATGAACACTTGCAACATGATTTCAAATGCCAGCATATATCTACCACGTTGAAAGCTGGATTTTACTTGGTTGATTTTATATGTTATCTTTTATCGAGTTGTATAAGTGGCCACTCGTATTCAGGGATACCCGTTTACTAGGGCGGCTAGCCAATCCCTATTGCAGACGCTTGCTCAGGCGCATTTGTGCTTATTCAACACCCAAAGAACCCACCTGTGGTTTATAATGCAACTATGCTGAGCAGACCTAAGTTATAGTTTCTGGGAAAGAGCGTGTTATCTAGCGTCATCTACAATTTGAACAAGGCCAGCACACTCAAACCCTCGACCACAATGACTAGTGACTTCGTGCTAGTACAGCTATCGACGGCCCCCAAGGGCTCCATCTACCCACAAGGCTTGGGTCAACCCGTGGTATGTTTTTCAGGTGCCTCACGGTGGGATCGACGGATAAATGACAAATTGACCATGGTGAGGTTCGAACCGGTGTCTCATGATCAGAATGTGAGCATTTTAACCACTCGGCTTTTATTGAGTTATTTCTTGTCGAAATAGGTTCTTCATCTATCTATCTATCTATCTATCTATCTATCTATCTATCTATCTATCTATCTATCTCATTCTGATTATTAGTCCTGGGTATGACGATAAACTACCACCGGCAGCAAGGTCTCTGATCGGGAGATTGGAAGTTTTGAGGAGCATATGGACAAATAGTTAACCTCCAAACAATAGTAAAAATACTAGCAATACCTTTTTTCTATAAAAAGTACCACAATACATATTTATAGTAAAATTACCAACAATACATTATACATGTAGCTGAAGGCACACAATTGCGTTGTAAATAAATTTAGTTGAAATCATGAAATTGTTAAAAATATTTAGATTTCAGCATAGAGTGTAAATATGTGAAAGTTTCTAGTGAGAAATCTATCTATCTATCTATCTATCTATCTATCTATCTATCTATCTATCTATCTATTTCATTTTGATTCTATTGCATTCAGATTCTATCTATCTATCTATCTATCTATCTATCTATCTATATATCTATCTATCTATTTCATTTTGATTATATCGCATTCAGATTCTATCTATCTATCTATCTCATTTTGATTCTATTGCATTCAGATTCTATCTATCTATCTATCTATCTATCTATCTATCTATCTATCTATCTATCTATCTCGTTTTAATTCTATCGCATTCAATTTCTATCTATCTATCTATCTATCTATCTATCTATCTATCTCATTTTGATTCTATTGCATTCAGATTCTATCTATCTATCTATCTATCTATCTATCTATCTATCTATCTATCTATCTATCTATCTCGTTTTAATTCTATCGCATTCTATCCATTTTGATTTATCTATCTATCTATCTATCTATCTATATCTATATCTATCTCTGTTTTGATTCTATCGCATTCAGATTCTATCTATCTATCTATCTATCTATCTATCTATCTATCTATCTAGACACATTTAAATTCAGTGTAGATATCGGTGCACTTTACCTTGATAATTTCACTTCGCAACTCATACTTTTAAACAACGCCAGTTATTTCAAAACACTTAAAGACAATCTTACACTTGCCGTCGCACCACAATCCTCACTATTCCGGCTGAAAAAAAAATCACTTTGCTTTGAGGCATATCAAAGACGACATTTTGAGAGGAGAACAAGTAAAGCAGACAACAGCACGTAATCAATCGCGTCACCATTAATATGCAGCCGTGCCTGCCTACCTGGGATCTTGTGGCTGGCTCTAGTGGATGAACGATGCCAAAGACGGGAAGCTCAGCCACGCATGAATAAATTCAAATCTCGCCTTGTCACACAACACTGTGTAATCTTCTCTGCTATGACGATTATCCCTCGTCCTGCCATCTTTTCTCTCCTCTCTGAACTAACTCCGAGCCGACACCATCACCCTTAAACTACGCCGCATCAATCACCATGATATCATCCTATTGTCTGTTCCATTCCAGTTTGGAATATTGTGTGGATGGTCTCATTGATAATGGTTGGGAATGAGAAATCAGAGGACCGAGTTCGAATTCCAGTCTGGTTCATTATATTCACTTACGCGCAAATACACTTGGGAGAGGTATAGATGTGTTTCCCCTATCTATGGGTTAAATAGTAAGTTATTCAAAAAATATTTATTCTAAAAAAATACTAATGCAATATTCACTGTATACAATAGGGATTACCTAAACTTGGCTTTACGCCACGTCGATGTTAATTTTCTAAGCGTTGCCTAGATGTGGCTAAAGGCCGAAAGTATGGGACACCCAGTGAGGATCCAACTTACTACTTAGTCTGAACTGTTCTAGCGAGACAAGCTTGCTAACTATTACGTCACTTCCAGGTGCTCTAAAAATTATTGCAATGACAATGAAATTAAGACAAATAATGCAAGGAATGTCAGCCCCAGAGAAAATAATGTACATAATCTGTTGATTTGCAGTATCTTGGGATTTCTGGCTGAAACTTGGAGGCAGCTCATAAAACATACAATAATAATGTGGGACATACCAAATCAAACTCACAGGGAAATAAAAGCCAACAGCCTTGATATTATCATAAAAGACAAGAAAGTCAGAAAGTCTATGCCTATTGACATAGCAGTACCATCTGAGAGAAACACTTCCATAAAAATTAGGGAGAAATTGTCCAAATACAATTAATCGCGATTAACAGGATGTGGGGAATGAAACCTGAGACTTTATCAACAGTAATCGGAGCTCGTGAGAAAAAGGAATGGACAATTTTACTAACATTGTCCCAGGTAACATCAACATACAGAAATTTGCCCAGAAAATCGCCCTACTAGGAACATCACATATATTAAGAAAAGTGCTATCAATTAAATGACAATTCTCTTATAGTGTCTAAGGACCATAGTTTGGACCCGGCTCTACAGGATACAAAGCAGGAAGCGTATCATACACAAATAATAATAATAATAATAATAATAATAATTAGGACTGGTTGGAAAAGATTCCAGTAGACTAATTGAAGGGATACCTGGAAGTCCATGCCTCAAGGAGATACAGAAAATTGTTCTGACAAGTACAGCCCACACCTTACGAAGGGCTTTATCTATGTAATTTTTTTTTTTTTTTGTTTGTCAGTGGAAAGTGTCATGACGCCATTTCTAACCTTAGGTCCCTCAAGGGACCCGGAAAGAAATGTGTAAACGCCAGAAATCAAAGAAAATAAAAATATAATAATAATAATAATAATAATATAGGTACCTCAAATGATTTGCTAAAAAATAAGACATGTATGATGAAAAATGGCCCAAACTTAATAAAAACAAATAAATAACCCGAAAAGTGTTGATAAGCGATAACAAACATAAAAACGCCCCCACAAAACAACAAACCAATCAAAACCATATGGACGTATTGGGTTACGTTTATTTCTTTTGTAATTTTCAACTGGTTGGCGTGTGTTGATCCATATTTACGTCGGATGGATCAGATGCTATCGGCGAAAGTCATCGGTAAATCTTGCTATCTTAATTCTTTTTACAGTACTACTACTACTACTACTACTACTACTACTACTACTAGTAATAATCATCATAATAATAACAACTCTGCTCATTAAGGTAACAGCCCCTGTTGATGCAAATATTTTCAGTCTAATTTTTCGACAAACTTAAGACGATCTAAAAATTGAAATTTAGAGAATGTATTGTCTCAAAGCCCTGACATTCCTAATTGTTATTGGTGCACTAGGAACCATCCCCACCTAAAATATGAAAAAACTATATTTTTCAACTCCTGGTTGAACGAGTTTAACTGAAATGCAAAAGATTACACACACATGTGTTCTTTCCACATCCCCAGGAAAGTCTTATCAATATGAAAGGTTTACTGACAGATACTACTGGAATTTGCATGCATATTCCAATATATTCGCAGAAAACCCAAAGCATTTTACAGGGATTCTTCATATTTTGAAGGTCCTTCAGAGAGTTTACTGAATTTTACATAACATAATTTTGGTATCATTCTAGTTTCACCATTTAATCTGTTCACACCTTTGAACTGTACAAAAATTGACACCTTTGAACTGTACATAAATTTACACCTTGAACTGTAAATAAATTTGCACCTTGAACTGTACATAAATTTACACCTTTGAACTGTACGTAAATTTACACCTTGGACTGTATATAAATTTACACCTTTGAACTGTACATAAATTTGCATCTTGAACTGTACATAAATTTACACCTTGAACCGTACAAAAATTTACACCTTTGAACTGTACATAAAGTTACACCTTGAACTGTACATAAATTTACACCTTGAACTGTATATAAATTTATACCTTGAACTGTACATAAATGTACACCTTGAAATCTACATAAATTTACACCTTTGAACTGTACATTCATTTACACCTTTGAACTTTAGATAAATTTTATCTTGCATACACTTATAAGTTTTACTGACATCTGGTGCTTCTGCTGTACATATTCAGATTTTTGTCAAAATACAAAGAAGGATCTGTAATTTAATCGATCCTGAGCCAATATCTAGACTTCAATCACTTTCTCACTGAAGTGACGTGACTTGCTTCTGTATTTTCTTCAAATATTTTCATGGCAATTGCTCTTTCCCCCTTGTTTTCTCGCCAATGATTTGCTAAAAAATAAGGCGCGCATGATGAAAAAACTGTCTAAACTTAATAAAAACAAATAATTTGTATGTTAATGTTACCTGGGACACTGTTAGTAAAATTGTTCATTCCTTTTCTCACGAGGCCCAGAGCTCCGATTACTATTAATACAGTCACAGATTTCATAACTCACATCCTGTTAATCTCGATCTCCAGCTCCTTATATTTGGATAATTTCTCGATAATTTTTATGGAGGTGTTTCTCTCAGATGGTACTGCTATGTCAATAAACATAGACTTGCTGAATTTCTTGTCCTTTATGATAATATCAGGGCTGTTGGCTTTTATTTCTCTGCCAGTTTGAATTGGCATATCTCAGAGGATAGTTACATCGCTATTTGGGGTAACTGTGTCTGATTGGTTTCTGATTGAAACTGTGTCTCAGTGGTTTCGATTCTGTGCTTCTTGCAAGTCTTCCAGTGTACATATATCGTTACCTTGTTTTGTCTGTGGGTATATTCCTTTTTTGATAGTTCCGGACATCCGGAGATAATATAGTCAACAGTTTCATCATATTTTCCGCAGATCCTGCATTTCGGGTTCGTTCCATCCTTGATCATATGACAGTGATAGGATCTGGTTGCGAGGCTTTGATCCTGGAATAATTAGGCCTTCTGTCTCAGCTTTCAAATTGGTGCTGAGGAGATTTCTGTTGGTCCACGTCTGCTACTTTCGTTCTTTTTAGGTATTTACCATGCAAAGCCTTGTCTTCCAAGGTTTTTGTAAGTTTTTTGGACAAGTTGCTTAAATGAAATGAAATGGAAATTGGAAAAATGAGAGTAATTTTTTTTTTATTTCTTTAAGGCATCGACTTTTAGGAATTCCTTCAGTGAGTATCGGAACCTTTTCCAATCAATCCGAGTGCTCCGACTACTACTGGAATTATTGATCTCCTCATGTGTCACATTTTTGAGATTTCCATTTCAAGATCCAAGTGTTTTGATAGATTTTGATGATCTTCAAAGATACATTACAATCTTATATTATTATTTTTTGTATTTCTTTAAGGCATTGACTACCAGGAATACCTTCAATGAGTCCATCGGAATCTTTTCCAATCAATCCGAGTGCTCCGACTACTACTGGAATTATTGATCTCCTCATGTGCCACATTTTTGAGATTTTCACTTCAAGATCCTTGTATTTTGATAGCTTTTAAAAAAAAGACCTTTAAAGATACATTAGAATCTGCAGAAACTGCCATGTCAATAAGAAAGTATATTCTGTTTTTTGGTCTTTGATTACGATGTCTGGGAGATTAGCTTTCATTGTTCTGTCTGGGTGTATTGTAATTATTATATTATTAATTATAATATTATTGTATTATTATTATTATTATTGTTGTTGTACACATTTTCCCATTCCC